TGGAAATAAATCTGTCTTGAGAAAAACCGCTTCAAACTAGACCTGGTTTTTCCGTTTTGACGGCTTCGTCCAACTTTTCAAATTTGGGCCTCCGCTCATCCACAAGGAACTTGTTTAGAACATTCGGGTCTTTAACTGGGAAAAATGATAAAATTTAAGTCCATCAAATCAATCATGGTACAACTGCATATCCTTGAAAATAAACCTCCTCGATGGGAAAGGCGTTCGAGCGAGGACGTTACGTAGTTCTCATTTTCCAATGTTCTCCTAGCTGGATCGACCGACATGTTTTTTACTTGATATTTTGAATTTATGTGCTTGACGTGTCATGAAGAGACCATCAAGTACAGTCAGCTTCCTTGCCAAATAATCACTCAATATTCCCACTTTATTCGCCCTAAATGTAGCTTCGCCAAGGTCAATAATTTCTTAATGATTAATAACAATATTTCTATACCTTTTCTTAGCCATGATAAAATTTCTAAATGAAAAAACAAATAGTTGCTTTCTTTGTTTGGTAGTTTAGTGATCCCAGCAGCAGAATGCAGGAAACGATTCTGAACAGCTGGCTGATCGATTATGCGCCTGGTTCGACAAACTGGTCTCAGGAACCCGAGCAAATAAGTTTGAGAGAAGACAGAGCGTACACTACGCTTCCTGGATGTTTTTGCCTTGTCGCAGTTATATGGCAAATCTCGTATCTTTCTGTATTTTTAAATTAGGGAGGTTTGAAAATCACTTTGTGTGGCACGTTTGGGAGAGGTGCCCCAGAAGGATATTTTTTCTACGCATTACAAAATATCATACAAATCACGAAACTTTGTCATATGATTGGGGGAGGGTTGTATTTATAATATAAAATTAAAATTTATTTCACTCACCTAATAATATATTTTAAAAACCGATCAAACCTGATACCACCCATAGTGGCTATGCATCAAATAATTTACTCGAATGAGGAACCTGCAGTTTATGCGCTGTAATCTTGACTTTTTTGCGGAAGGATTGGATCGTGTCAGAGATTGGACGGGTAGCATGGCAAATCTGAAAAAATGTGATGTTGAGCAAATATTGCCGTATTTCTATATTTAATACATTGCTTCTATGGCAGCGTTGCCATAATCCGCCAAGAGATGGCGCTAGCATGCGATGGCACAGATTTCTGGGGATGTAAAGCAACTTGTACACGTATATTATTAGGCTGAAATGCGACCGTTCCTTCCACACAGGTATATGGGTTCAATTGCATGAGTATATTTCGGCGGTTCGCTATACTATGGTGCCTGGAACGCGTCTCCGACTGTTGTGTTTACCGCGGCCAAAAGGTGGTCCCTCGATTTCCGCCTGATGACGTCATTGAAGTGTTATGCTGACGCCGTTCGCGATCCTGGCGGCGTCCCAACAGTTGTGATGTATATGGCAGACGCCTGTTCTGCTGCAGGTCGCTCTTTACTGAGATAGTCTACGGAAGCTGAAGCAGCGGAAAGTTGGGACGCCTGGGACGCCGCGATGACAGCGACACTCGCGTTGGCTCGTGCTTTTCGCCAGCATTTCTATGGCCAACTGCCAGGATCGCGACGGGCAACAGCATGACACTCCGGCTTCTGTGACGTCATTTGTTGCCACTTGGCGACCACTTTTGATGTATGGGCGGGATAGGACGCTAAACACACCAGTCGGAGACGCGCTCCAGGAACCATAGTTATACGACGGAGTTTTAAAATAATGAGGTTCTACGGGCACTCAAAGACTTTTAGACAAAGTCAAAAGTCGAATTTGGGGGTTTTACGTGCCAAACCAACGGCGGGCATCTGGCGAGCCCCAGCGGAGGACTGGGGATGAATTTGGACCACCTGGGGATCTTTTGACGTGCAACCGAAAGCTCGGTTACACGGCGTCTTCTCCGCAATAAGCCTCCGTCAGATTGCGGGCTCCTCGGCCGGGATTCGAACCAGCCACATGGGGATCCGTAGGCCGACGCTCTCGCCTCGGAGCCACCGAGGTGGTTGCAAGACTTTTAGAAAGAACTCCGTCGAAATTCGGCGGCGAAATGGTGCACTGCATCGGGTACACGCAGAGTAGAGACAGGGAGTTGATGCACTTATTCTTTGAAAGAGTTAGTTATAATGGTCTTTTAGGTACTAGCGAAGCGAAGGAATTCTTTCGCTTGTTTATGAAGCATAAGGATTCTTTCCAATATGTCTTTGACGCACCAACGGATGTGTTGTCAGCTGATCTCCTGGCAATTCCTCTTCTGTCATGGTCACGTGCTCACGTACACGCACGCACGTACATTGACGTGGACCGAGCCGCTTTGTCTCACCCCAGCGGACATCGGAGACGGTCTCTAATCTATTACGGGTAGAGTTCCGTGCTCGCTCGTTAGCGCCCTCAACCGCCAGTCTTCCACCAAAAGAGAAATAAATGCGGTGGCAGTCGAAGACACGCTGGGCGGCCAGGCTGACAGATGTCTCCTCAAGATGGGCGCCAAAGGCTTGGAGCGCGCCCGAGTGAGAAGCGAGAGAGAAACGTCGACAGTAGCAGGATGTTGCAGTTCTGTGCGCACTCACGCAGGCCGTCATCGGTTCTCTTGGTGGGGTTTTTCGGCGCTTCGTAAAAATGAGCAGCCAGTGTTGTTGTTTTTTTCTTCCCTTATGTTTTTATTTCTCCAAGGTTTATTGCGTCGAAAGTGTCGGTACAGCTAACCTAAGCGTCAAAATAAAATTCCAGAGGGTACATTTTTTTTTACAAACGTCCGTTCTCTCTACGCTCCGGTAAGACACAAACACATTTTAACGGCATCTTCTTCCACGAGATCGTCTGCGATCCCAATATGAGCAATGTAGGATGTTTCTGATGAAGTTTTGTGTAATGGAAACGAGAAAGTTTTTATTTGCGACGATTAGAACGTACTGCGCACAAAGACAAAACAGGAGAACGAGGACACACGCACAGCGACGACGGGAATACGCTATATGTCGCCATACCTTTGAATCAGCATGCCTTACCGACACGCCAAGCCTCCACTTTGATCAGTTCAGATTTATATCTATGATTATGGGAACTTCTGCTGAAAATCGGGAATAACAACGAGGGAATGAATTGCTTTCTTTTCACATTGTATGCTATTTATTTCTTATTTGTTTTACGCTTCTCAATTTTGAGGTATCCGAGCGATATTTTATTTTCATCGTAAAATTTAATTGAACCACGGTTGTCTTTTTCTTCGCGTTTTATAGTTTTCGAGGCAGTTTTAGGTAAAATAAGGTTCATTTTGTATTCTTACCACAACATTATTTCATAAATATAGCGCAAGGTAGTGCGATTGTTTTGTAGACTTATCAAAGAGCAAAAAAAAAAAAAATCAATTGAATTTTACGTATCAAGAGCTAGGGCCTAATCTTTTCTGACTTCACAATTTTAAATCCGTTGCACTGGTTCATTATGACATCTCATTATGTAGGACAAGAAACGGGAGCAAATTTAGGTTTGTTATCCCCTTTCTTTTGCGTTTAATGATGTAATTAGCAAAATTGTCTTCCTCAGTTTTAACTTTTGCTCAAGTCAACACTGTACTTGAGTATTCACAGGAACCAAATCCACTACCTAGCCGGCATATTTGGCAGGTCGAAGTTTCCTAACAAGAAAGACACTTGCTACCATAGACCGGATGCGTATTCGGAAAAACTTGTAGACCAACATTTTTGTTAAAATTTGGCTCTCTAATTTATTTGTTTTTAAGAAGATCACCTTGTGTGGTTTTAAGGGAGGAGATAGCGGGGACGGGCGAGGTTTAGGTAAACCCGCTTCTGTGACTCAATCGCTAGCCTTTGTCCGGCTTTCATATTTGCTTAAGTGATAACCGTAAGCAATCAGGGAGCCGGTAAAAGGCTAGAGTATAAAACAATGAGGTGCACAATTCGCGTGTGGCTTGCGGGTGGGCCTGGTGGGAGCGGGGTTGCGCGGGGCTGCTATAAACCACGCGCATTATGTGGGTTTACACTTAATTCATGCAGTGCTCTCTGATATTTGTCAGCGTGATTCGGGCGGTGCAAATTTATTCTGGATGCACTGAGAGGCTGGTGTGTGCTTTTGGCGTAGTTGCTTCGTACGCTGACGGTACGCTCGCATGCGTTCGGTAGTAATCTACGTGGAAGCCATGGCTATTGACTGGATCGAAGCGTTCCGATTCTGTGCTTATATAGGGGAGAGACTGGCTTGGCCTTTTATAGGTGGGATGTTGCTCTACCAAGCAGCTCCGATGGCAAAAACAGGCCCGATTCTTGTAAAAAAATTAATAAAAAAGCACATTTGGCTAAATGGGGCAAATGAGCAAGAGTTCCCCGTTTTGATGAAATGCGGAGGGCAAAATGTTTTTTAAACATGTTGATCGGCTGACCGCAAGTGTGTATGCCATTGCCAATGCGTCTGTACGGACTGGCGTTGCAAAAATGTGGATGGTATTTTTATCAATGGCCTTTTCGCATCGCCACCCTTGTACCTGTTGTAGGAGTGGTGAATACAGTGCAGCCCCGCGCATCACACTTAATATTTACTGATTTAGGGGTTTTGAATGACGTTCAGCGAGTTTCTGATTGGAGCCATACGTTTCTTTTCACTCATTTGGAAGTTAATGAGTAAATGGTAGTTCGCTATTCAGCTATTTAGTTTGTTTCTTGCAGTATCTGACGTCCGTTGTGGAAATGAGCGAATAAATGCATATTGTGATAGAGAATTTGGTGATTGATTTAGTTTGATATATACATGCTTCAAGATTGGAAGGATAGCAAATTAGAACTGAGCTGGCCGCCATCTTGGGAGTTTTAGGCGTCGTCGGTTGTTAACCTCGTAATTAGGATATCTGTTTTATGGCTGCCCATTCGACTTTTGCATAAACTTTTAATTCGGGAACGTCTTACGGGTCTGTACGGAGTTACCTAAGTCGACTCTTACTTTGTTCATTTTAAGGTCATGCTCTAGTGTGCGATTTTTTCTCGCAGAGAAGACGCTAGTGAACGTGAGTGTCTTGCTGCTGACACTGTCCTCCCCAGACGAGTCGAGCCTGGTGAGTTTGTTTTATGTTCGTCTAAGCTCACGTTTCGGTGCTCCTTCGAAACGACAGATCGAATTATTTTCACGAGGCTAACTCGTCCATTAGTGTTACGCTTTTGCGGACTGTAATGTTTGCATGTTGCATGCTGTTACTACTAGCACGACTACCGCCTTGTTTTTTGTTTTTTTTTAATGGTTGATGCGTTTTAGACGCGCTCCCTTATATCTCCCTGCTGTAAAGCGGTCAGTCGTACGTGGACGGTGCCTGGTAGGCGTCTCCCGCCGGTATGTTTACCGCGTACAAAAAGTGGTCCTTCGACTTCCGCCTGATGACACCATAGAAGTGTAACGCTGTCGCCTGCCACAATCCTGGCGGCGTCACGAGCAGCGGTGCTGAATGTGACAGACGCCTCTCTTGTTACATGTCGCGCTCCAGCTTGACACTAACGGATGCCAGGCGGGCTGGTATTTTCAGCTTGACAGTTCACGGAAGCTTCGGCAGCCAGTAGTTGGGACACCACGACGACCGCAACACTGACATTCGCTCGTGCTCTTCGCCAGCATTTCTCGATCAACAGCCAGGATCGCGACATTTGACATCATGACACCGCGGCTTTTGTGGCGTCATTCGTCGCCATTTCGGGACCAGTTTTGAAGCGTGGGCGGAATAGGACGGAAAACACAACGGTAGGAGACACGTTCACGGCACCGCAATGCGCGAACTTTGTGTTATTATTCGGGGCCGAGAATAGCCCCAGGTATTCCTGAGTGAAGAGTTTAAAAAGTATTGCAATGTAATTATATTATCTATAGTGTTACTTAAGGGATAGTGTAATTACCGGGCAACGTCCTTTTAAATCTCCCGTGACCCCCAGGGTGCAGATTCTGCAATATACAGCCACATCTTTACAAAACAAATGAAAAAATGCTCACATGTTTTTTTTTTTTTAGTTTTCATTTTTAGCACTGCTCACACTAGATGCTTAGGAAGTGACATCAACTAGAAGCAGAAATCACTGACAAAAATAATAACGTGGCTCCTAGGAATAAAATTGTAATAAAATATTGATAATGTAGGTACGCACAGTCGCATTCTCAAGCCCATGTTTACTATTAGGCAATCGCGCACCTGGCCGAAAATTGCGGGACAATAATGCGTGAAAGGCGCCACTAGCGGCTGTTTCAATATTCACGGTTCTCTGCTACTCCTGGCATGGTAGACGCTGCTAGAATGTACGAATATCTGACGCTCTCACTTAAAATCTACATTAGAAGAGCCGAAAATTTTGCTAGTTGCCACAGATTCAATATAAAACAGCGCAGAGAAAGAAAGACAACGCGTCTCTTTCGGTCCCCGTCTTTTCGTGCGCAAAATACTTCTAATTCTAAAGTCATGACAGGTGTCGCGACATGGACAGCAACCACTCTTGCTGTTGCAACGTCCACTGTGTTTGTACCTGCGTCCTTCCTCGCGTAATCGGCGCTTTGAGGTGCCATCGAAGCAGCTGCGACGTCTATCCCTCCCCGCAGAAGTACGAGATCGAGTTCCTACTGCACCAGAAGTGGGAGGACAGGCGGCTTCGGTTCCTGGACGACGTGGCCACTCCTATGGGTCACCTGAACGGGCTGCTCCACGAGTCGCGCGTCTGGAAGCCCGACATCTACTTTCTCAAGCACGGGGAGTTCAAGTCTCCGCTCACGCCCATCCACATGAGCCTCAGGCTATACCCGAACGGCACCGTCATCTACACGCTCAGGTGAGCGCCTGCCTTGAGAGGCACTCCAACGTTGTTAGAATGAGCTGAGCTGAGAAACGGCTATAAACGCTGCATGCGCGAGCAGTACCCCCCTCAATCACCACGACTCGCCTGCCGTCGTTAGACGCGCCGGACGGCTGCTATGGTAACTGCAGAGTAGTCTAGGCGATACGTACATTTCAAAGCGCAGCGTCTAAATGGCGTTCCAGCGTACTCTATAGAACACACAGTTATAATGAAACGAAAATCAATATTGCGCTTCGAACGATGGGAGGCGGACTCAAGTGAGGGGGGGGGGGGGGTGCCTCCTTCCATGGGAGTTCCTCAACTAAGGTAATCTAATAACGTTGACACCCACTCCGATACTCACGTCAATCAATCACTCATGCCTTTCGCTAGGGTCGAGTGGCACCACCGGCGGCCATTGCTTGACACCAGTAAATGCATTCAACCCTGCGGAGAAAAGTGAGATTGCTTTCATTTGATTTACTTATTTGTCTTCATAATCCGAGGAAACCTCATAAAACTTGTTTTTCAAGACACTTCCGACAAGCTTCAAGAAGGTCCCTTTTTTTATTTTTCCCCCATAGACTCGCATGTACTTCCGGGTATCAACGATGGCCACTGATGGTGCCGCCGGCGGGCTCCCAATCCACGATCCAGCCTACTGCAATAATGATCAGTCCCATCAATGCCCTTTGGGTGGGCTGGGGGGGGGGGGGGGGGCAGCTGTTTTTCTGTCGATCCAGCGCTGGTAAGGCTGCTCCACACGCTTGCGTTTAACTGCGCTTGAGTGCGTTGCGTTACCACAAAACCGCTCAACACACTTTTCCACTTACGCCATCTATCGAGTAGACCTGCACACTTTCAATCTTGATATAACAATACTAAAGGGTTTTCAGTATTTGCGAGATGAAATCTACACACCTCCAGATGTAGGAGATTGTAACATTGTGAGAATTAAGTTGGTACCACGGCCAAATAATGATTCGTAACAATATATATTAGAGCATATAAGTTGGTCAGAAGTGATTCAGAGATATCCGATGGAATGCATACTTGTGCCAGTGTGATACTCGGTTAGAGGAAACGCAACAATCTCGACCGCAGTCAAAGGCAAATATGGGACCCAGCCTTTAGTTGTCGTGAAGATGGCACTTAAGGGGAAAATATTTTATACTAGACCTCCAAAACTTCATGCGCGTGCATAGCGAAATCACTCGTTGTAGAGCACAAGGAATGTATCTTTGTTGTAACAAAACGTGCACGTAGCCTAGTTGGCACTTCATGACTGCAGCGCCCAAAACAAGGAGAAAGACTAAAAGCCCACCGTGTGTGTGACCGCACCTACTCTTTGTCCTTCTTTTCTGCGCTTTTACCCATTGATGTTCCAGGAACCCACGCTTTCGAAATTCAGCATCGATGGAGATTCAGCGGTTGGGGGGTTCTGAAATCACTAAGGCATTGCTGCACGATAGAGTCCTCAACAGCTGCTAGCACGTGCAAAGTGCCCCCTGCAAAGTTGCACCAAAACCTTTTGTTTCAAGGATTATTGACGTAAGGCAGAGACATCACGGCATTCTTAAGGTGGCTCGATATCTGCATGATACGGGTCAATCACTCTTGCAGTCATTAGGATGACAGGTAGTCATAATTCTGGATGATTATGTTTTGGAAACAGCCAATCTGAGTGACGAAAACGTGGTTGTTAGATTTTTCTCTCAGCGTAAATATATGTTATTTTATAGTATATTTGTTATAACTCATAATGTTCTTTTTAACATAGATCGCTTTATAAACCAGGCTATTTAGAAAGTGACCAACATTAAAAAAGAAAAACACAGCAAAAAGTAAATACGGGTGTGACAATATCAGCAACATTTTGCTGGATTACGTACCGCTAAAACTAAGCGTAATCTAGCGGCTCGGCTTATTGCACCGAAGTCCCTATAACGCATTCAACGTACAAGAGTTCTTTCATGAGTGACTAAAACGGGCTGTCGTTTTTATCAAGATGTGAATTATAAAAAAAAACTCTATTTGCATTGAACTTTCCTTTTAACATAATGTTTTTAAACATCATTCTGAACAGCGTTAAAGGGTTGGTCCAGTGGAGTTACGGAGATCGACATTGTGAGCATATATTAAAGTTGTCTTGAAAGTTTATTGGGTTTTAATTCTAAGGCGTCCGGTAGTCGGGTCTATCTCAGACAAGGGGTAACGTTTCATGTGAAGAGAAAAGTCGTCTGCTTCTTGCACAGGGGCTGCGCTGATTTCAGAACGCCGGGCTCTTATTGGATGATTGTCGAAACTAGTAAGTAGGCCTCAAGGAATCTAGCATTCAAGTCTACCGACTATCCTTCCAATCGAAGCCAATCAGAACTCGACCTCATTTTGACGTCACCGCAACCCCCGCGCAAGTACTAGACGGCTTGATTTCCGCGTTATCTTGTTGCCTCAACCAAGGCTCGACCTGTTCGCTGTCAAAGGAAAAAATAGCATTGATCGAAACCTTATTAATTATTTAAGTGTCACGTGTCACTACCCTGTCTTACTAACTTCAATTTTCTACCGTCTGACTATATTTGCCTGTAGCTTAGGCGTAAATAAATCAATTCCTATTCCATGTTTTCCCAGTTGTATAAGGCCTACTGCTTCGCGATTCCGACAATATCAGGAACCACTGCCACGAGGAATCTTTGCTTTTTCTTCAGGGTAAAGCGCACTTCAATCGTTTCGCTGGAGAAGCACAATGGAGTGCATCAAGCATTCGTGAGGAACAATATGGTGCTACCATGAAGTGCCTTAGTTGAAAACGTGCTCAGCTTAGTAATCGACATTTTCACAAAGAAATGTGGCAAGATGTCTCACAAAATTCACGAGAGCCAGCAGTTGCTCAAAATACTCAAGGTCAATCATTCGGATTGGTGGCAACAATAAACGCTTCAATAGCCCTCTTCCCTTTGTTTCTTAGCTGAGTACAGTAATGTTGGAAGTAAGGCAAAGAAGCAACGGATTGCTTTTTGTTGTAACTTCCCTCTGGTAATATCTCAAAGTTTTTTTGATTTATAACCGGTGAGTCTTCCGGATAGCAAATATTGCATTATATTGTAATTAGCTAGAATAAATATCGAATGGATGTGAGTATTAATAAACCTTCATTATTTTTATAAGTTCTACGTTAAGTTGAACTTCCGTGATTAAATGCTTGTCTATCTTTAACTATTACGTTTTTTGGCCGTTCATATTTTAATATTTATTATTTTCCCTGCCCCTCGATACTGCAACAGGTCTTCTTTCCGGCCCCTTAGGCAAACGATTTAGAGGTCCCTGGTTTAGATCGCAGTTGCTGAGACTTTTAAGGCGACCTGCTCGTTTATAAACCTTGCTTCTGGTGCCTTGCCTTAGTAACTAAAACACTTGGTGTTGGTATGGTTAGATAATGCAGCCTGCTGCATAGCCAAGTCGGCGAAGTTACCAATAAAGGAAAAAAAAAAGTCTGTGTAGTTAAGTCACCAGCGCGCTTGCCTCGCACGCAGGTGGCCAGGGCTGGACCCCTGCCATCGCCTGTTGTTTTATATCTCCTTAAATTAATCGAAGTTTCTAGAAGTTTTGCAAATCATATAGTTTCTTCATACTCATAATGTACAGTTCCAGAACAATTGAGATCCAATAATCTATTAAGGCTTCCAGGGAAGCCTTAATAAAAGCCGTGCCGCGACGTGCAGGGGCAGTCTTTCGCCAGCGCTCGATCCGGCTGTCGCGCCGCCTTAGAGGGCCCCGACGCCTGTACTTCTGTTGCTTTTTTTTATCACAAGTTCGTTCTATTACCGCTTCCTTGCTGACTGTATTAACCGTCTCTCTGCCTGTCATTCATGAAAATATGCTGTAGCCCGAATCTCTAATGTCTAAGAAGGGCACCCCGAACGATATGCAGGCTCTCAAATTTCAGAAACTTCGTTTTTTGTCTACCTTTTGACGAGCACAAAACGCAAACGATATGTTTCACTATTTCGATGTATTTCAGAGGTCCTTTTTTATATTAACCATTGTATGTTTACACTTATCAGACATGCCATTAGGGACACCTTGCACTGTGTGTAGGGGCTGTATAGCTGAAGCGCCATCCGTTTTATGTACTACTTCCTGATGTGGATAGTATTTAACGGCTGCGAGCGTAACGAGTGACAATTCTATAGACTACGTGCGCATGTAATATGAAAGACTGCTGATATATAGGTGACTTTAACAGAGTTCAGATCGCGATGGCGCGGGGGCTTGGAACAAGTATCTCGGAAACTGTGAGTACCGTGCATGCTCGCCAGGTGGATTCCTTAGCACTAATCGAATCTTGAAGTAACACAGTAATACTGTTAGTAGACATTGAGGTGTTGCACGTCCACACCTCATCACAGAAGGGAGAAGTTGAAGGTTTTCCCCGCTGGGTGAAGAGAAATGGGCAGCTACCTGTGACTCAACTCACACCAAGGTGCAATGCAGCTCAAGGTTCAGGTGTTTTTGAGCACACTGCTAATCGCACTTTGTTTGATACGGGTGAACAGCAGACGAACCATTCAAGTGTTTTGCATGCCGAAGGCTAATTACCACGGTATTAGGTAGGTTAATTGTCATAATGTTTTGGGTGATCAGTGTGTAGGTTACATAGAATCGGGGAATTGATTGATTTACCGCCTAACTATTTAATTAATTTTTTCATTTATTTATTTTAAATTACTACTACCACACACATGGGGGCATCATAGGAGAGGGTTACAATATATAGATATACATATATATAAATGAATTTGTGCAGATGAATGAACCGTACTTAATCCAATGAATTAAAGAATAAAAGTTTTCAGGAACCCGCCGAAAGCCAAAAAAAACGGCGAAGCCAGGATTTGAACTCTGGGCCTCCCAATGTCCGGTCGGGTGTGCTAACCACTACACCACTCCACCTTTTTTTTTCTTTTTTTCCACTACACCACTCCACCTTGGCT